TCAGCTGATTATAAATCTCAGCGAGAACTTGAATTTTTTATCATTTATTACTATTCTATGTATCATATTATCATTATCATTACTACTGTTGTTGTTGTTGTATCTAATAATTTGTCATTACCAATACTAATAATACTGTTATTATCTTGAAAATTAAATTTACATCGCGTTGATCAGTTATATTCTATTGTACTACTTTTAATTTGAGTTGTACAACTTTAAATATACTTTAAAAATTTAAACTTTTTTTAAAACATTTCCTAAACCTTTTTTTCTATTCATTTCAAACTAAAATTCTCCTTTGATATATTATTTACTGTATAATGAAACAAAATCAAGGAAATCGTGGAAATCGCAGAAGTCGTAGGAGTCATGAAAGTCGTGGAGGTCATGGAATTCATGGAAGTCGCGAAAGTCATGAAGTTATAGCAGTTGGTAGAGGTCGTTGTAAAAGTCATGAAAATAATGAGAATATAAAAAAAATGAAGAGACAAATAAAAAACATCTAGATATTGCCCTACATGGTAATTTTTTTTAAATATTTTAATTTATAAAAAATTTATATGTAAACTTTTTTAATCTTTATTTATCAGAAAATAATCCAGAAATTCATAACGAAAAGGTAAAGAAAATCTATAATTTTTACTTAACCGACTGGCTTATGAGTTGCTCTTCGGTTTGATCGAAGAAATTACAAGTGTGTACCTTTAATTTTTTTCTGATGTCTTTTATTGGATAGAGACAATCATCCAATGATTGATATGGTTACTAATTATCCCGTCTCTTTAAGTAATAATTCATTCACAACATTATTTGATGACGTATGGCTAAGTTTTTCACTGCACAATAACTGAAAAAGGAGGCACGTTTTTTTTCAGCATCAAAAGGATAATAAGTTTTCGACAACATTTCATAGATTCTGTGAAATATCCATATACACCAAAGCAATTGCATATGCTTCCCGAAAGTGTGATGTATTGCTTTTATATGTATTTGCGAAGATATATCAAGCACGAAATCAGCATCCTTTGATTATTAAAACTTCATCTAATGGTATTAACTCATACAAATTGCCTTCTTTATTTTACGAAATAGCCGATCGTTACCTTCCAAGAGGCTTTGTTACTTCTAGGAAACCATCTACAAACATTTTTTGCGATTGCATATATTGTGATTACAATAACTATACTAATTTGAATAATTGTAGTGTACTTGTGTGTGGACATGGTTATCACAATCATTGTCTACAAAGGTGCTAATCTAAATGTTTTGATATCTTCAAGTCGAAATCAAAAAAAACGTCAACGCACTAAAAGAAAGTACGACGAAAAGATTAAACAAAAATGAGTTTATTGAAAATATCGAAATGTCGAAAATATCAAAAATACAATTGATGATGCAGCAACAATGGAAGATTTATTAGAGCATGCAAAAAAAAAATTTTTAGGTAAAATTTGTTTGATTTTTTTCATACATCGTTCATGTTTTGTCTTAATCGTATATCTTAAATAATGGTTGTGTTTACAATCATTTCGTAGACATTCATTATATTAAGGTTAATTTTATTATATCGAGAGATATGGTCAAGAGAAGAGTTAGGAAGAGAGTTATTCTTCAACCAAGTCGAAAACCAACCCTTTAAATACATTTTTGAGTAGTACAATTTAATTTATTAGACTATTTCAATGGTTTGTCGTATGGTTGCTTCTAATTTCTTAAATTCGTTAACGAAACAATTGTTGGTGAAGTGATTGTTGACAAAATGAATCAAACCAACATTTATTTTTACATTATCAAATTCATGATTTTGATTGGTCAATCAATAATTACATGGGTTAAAATTTTGTGCTGCCAGAACGGTCTCCTGTTCGCTTATTATAATTAATAAAAATGTAATTTTTTCAAATTGAATTTATATATGTATTTTTTATTTTTATTAATTTTTAATATATACAATAAAATTCGATGCGAAATGTTAAATAAAAAAATTATCTACATCGTAATAATGCATTGTGCAATGTTGGGTAGGCTGCGCATCTTGAAATAAGGTTGTGCAATGGTACCCGTTTTACATCGCGATGAAATTTTATAATTTAGGATCCTGATGATTATTTAACGGCTCATTATTAATATTAATATTAATACTCTCATTGTGACTTCTAAAAGTACCACTCATTGTAAATAGCAGGTCACAAACTGTGTTTTTGTCTTCATTTTTTATGTTGAAATCTTTACAATCCTCCAAAAAATTCGTGGTAAATGGTAATTGGTATATCATAATTTTTTGGTGGACAACAATTTAAAAAAAGCTGGTTTATCATTATCCAACTTTTCAACCCAATTTTTTGATAAGGCAGACTTTTTCACTTTCTTAATGCGATCTAATGCACATTTACCTACATTTTTTGGCAATAGAGACACAATCAGTTTTGCAAATATCTTAATACATCAAATTTAGAAAGGAAAACAAGCTCACCTTCTTCAAATTCTTCAGACTTATGTTTCACAAATAAAAGAAATAAAATGTTAGTTAAAATTGTATGCAAAATATCAGATAATCACAAAATAAATAAATGAAATTGAATAGAATGGAAATTTTTTGTATATTGGTGATTCACCTATAAACCAGTGAATGATTGACATTATTTAGATCTTTACCTTTATCCTTTTCAAGTCTTTTCAATTTTTTCTCTAATTCTATCACCTTCAACTCCAGTTCCTCTGCCTTCCTTCTCCAACTCTAAAGAGGATGATTGTTTGTGCAGGGAATAATTGTATATATATAAAAATTATTTTACGTTGAATTGGTGTTTACAATATTGAATACTAAAATAATAATTTATTGAAATAAATACTCTTTCATTTTCTTTAATTAACTGGAGTGACAACAAGTGGCGATAACCACCACCATTTTTATGATAAACACATATTCGCAGACGGCACCAGCACTATCCGCTTTTTTCTTTTGTTTGTTTGGGTTCTTTGCATTATTATTATTTTTTTTTCATAATGAATGTTATTTGATCGACAAAACTATTTATTATTGCGTGTATGGGTTGTATAAGAATTCCCTATTGCTTTTTCTTTGTTGACACGATTGTTTTTTTTTTTTTTTACAAGACGAGGAAATGTAAATGTTGTGGTATGGTATGGTTGTTTCTAAAGAAGACAATGTGTTATTTATTTTTTATTTTTATAAATAATTTTTTATTTGTAATGTATAATCATTATTTATTATTAAAAATTTTTTATTTGTAATGTATAATCATTATTAAAATCATGTATTTTTCCGCAAAAAACATCCGCAAATTTGATAATTGATTTGGCGATTTGCGGATGATTTTTGCGGAAAAATGCATATTATATTATAATATTAGCTGTTTGTTTTTAAATTTACTTTGAAAATAACTATCTGGGTCGGGAAAAAGACATCCTTGAGATTTGGTCTTTGTAGCGACTATTTTATTGACTATTTAATTGACTAATAAATCAACCAAGGAATTTTGACTGATTCCAACCAGTCCCTACGATCTTTGTGATTCAGTTTCTATATGTTATTTATGGATTGTATTAAATGACTTACACTACAGGTTTGTTTGGAAGGAGATGTGATTTTAAAGACATCAAATTTTTCATTTATACACACTTGATGACAGGATTAGGTGTTGTTGATATGGAAAATGACAAGGTTTTATTTAATATCTTTTATAACTTTAGAAATTTCTATTTTCCTAGTTTTCAATATATTGAACTCATGGAAAGGCCAATAACAATCTCTTGAGCTCTCACTGCACCACGGATTAGAGGTTTCAAAAGAAAAATTTTGAATTTCTTATACTTCTAAACTTGATTTATTATTA